CCCCAAAACCCCAAAACCCCAAAACCCCACAGTTCTAATTTTCATTTCATATTTCGAAGCATAAAATTTATTAATAATTATTTATAAGAAGCACTAGTATATAACTATTTTAAAGTATTATGCGAACTGGTTTAATATTGATATCAGCAATATTTCTGCTTGAGATTTCTAACGCTTTTGATTTCTCATCCAGAAAATAATCACAACCTCTTAGATTTTTAGATTCTAATGACTTGAAGAATAGCAGTCAATCAAATTAAGAAATTTTCTTAAACAAGGAATCAGTTTCAACAATCAGTATTACAGTGAATGAGAACTAATCATAGAATTCGACAGTGGGAACCCAGAATACTTCAGATACAACCAACTCGTCTTATAATGGCAATAATAGCTAGAATGAAAATGGTTAAACAACTGTTTAACTTAAGCTTAGCAAGAAATAGTTTTACGAAAAGTTTCTGAAAGACTACGGATTCACTGAATTTGTCAGTAAAAAGAGTAAGTAAAGAGAGCAGATTATCGAAGAACAAAAAAAGTAAAATTAATCTAACTAAAATGGTACTTAAAATAATGGAGGCAGTAATGTCACTGCTAATACAACTAACAGCACATCTAATTCAAGTACTGCTGAAAATACAACAGCAACCAATACAACTAACTCAAGTACTTCAATAGTTAACTCTACCAATAGCACTAACTAATCTGATTCTCAAACCAATAGCACTTCCAATCAAAATGGAACAACTCAAAATAATGATACTTAGTCATCAAGTAATATCAATTAAACGACGGCTAATAGTACCACTAACTCAACTAGCAATGTGACGAATGATAGCTTGAACTCTACAAATTCGAGCTCAGGTAATTAATCTGATATCCTTAATGGAACATCAGGGAATAGCAGTCAATCAAACAATTCTAATAGTAATAACAACTAGACAGGCACTAATAATACTTAGAATGACAGCATGCTCAATGGAACTAATTAAACTACAGTTAACCAAACCACAGGAAATGCAACAAATGGTACGAATTCTACTGGGAACCAAACATTTGACAACTCAACTTCAAACATGACCACTAATGGGACATCTAATAGCACAAATTCAAGCATATCTTAGGATAATTCAACTAGTAATCAAACCAATTTAGATAATAACTAGACCTCTAATATTACTAATCAAAATTAAACAAATGGGACAAGCAATAGTACTAATATAACACTTGATGGTAGTAATCAGACTCAAAGTAACAATACTATAGGCTTAAATATAACAAATTCAGCAAATAGCTCTAACAGTTACGAAAATTAGACTAATAGCACAGGTTACAGTAATTAAACAACTAATACTACAGGCAATGAAACTGCCTTGAATTCATCAGGGTAAGGGAATAATACCTAAGTTAATTCAACTAATTTGACAGAGGGAAATAATATTACACACAATAATTAGACAAAAAACGAGACATCATAAAATGTAACTGCAAACGTTACTGAGAGCCAAAACCACACAAATCAGACCTAGAATAATAATTCATCAAATGTAACTGCTAATTCAACACAAGATTCAGGTAATCAAACAAATAGTACTAGTCAGTTAAACAATACATCTAATAGTACTAGCAGTCAAAACAACTCTGGAAATCTTACTTAGATGGATAACTCTACTATTAACCCTAATCATACAAAAGATGGCAATTTGTCAACTCAAAATCAGACAAAACCAGAAAATGTAACTGGTGGGACAAATAACACAATGGGAATGAATAATACTAACTAAAATCCTTCACAAAATTAGACTAACAACAGCATTAGCAATACCACTAATAATAATACTGATGTGATCAATCCATCCACAAATCATACAAATTCTACTTAGAATTAAAACTAAGGAAGCAGCAATCAATCTAATTCCTCTTCAGGAGCTCAGAATCAAACTTAATCAGTCTAAAATTTGTCATAATAAGTTAATAGCACTCAAACAAATAATACTAGTTAGAACAGTACCACCTAAACAGGTTAAAATTCCACATAAGCAAATAATCTGACAGAAGGAGGAAATAATAATAATAATTAGAGTAGTTCAAATGAAAATAGAACCTCAAATAATTAAACAAATAATCAAAACAATCAATCGTAAACTTAGGAGAATTCTTCTCATTCTAATTCTAATAATTAAACTGCCAACCCCTAGAATACTTCTGCTTTAAATGAAACTTCTGTGAATAATCAAACTTAAATATCTGAAACTTCTACATAATAAACAGTTTCTCCTAACATTACTATTGTTGATAATACTACTTCAACCACTCCTTCACCAACACCCTCAAATGAAATAACCAATCAAACCAACCTTACAACAACTATACCCCCCACTTAAACTAATAATATCAGTCAAGTGACAACATTGCCAACTCCTCAACCTACTGAATCTAACCAAACAAATCAAACATAGACTACAGTATCAACAACTGCTGCTCCAGTGACATCAAATTAGAATATCACCAATAATATTACAGAATCTACAGCAGCACCAGAATTGACCTAATAAATCAATACTACATCTACCACACTAGCTCCTACTACTATGATTGAGGCAAATACCACAACTCCTTAACCTAGTGCTGAAACAACATAGATTATATAATCTAATACGACTATCGACTCTACAACCACTCATTTACCAACAAATCAATCTGTTTCTACAACTACAGAAGTATCAACTACAACCATTTAAACACCTGAACCAACTTTAACTCATAATGAAACAACTTCAACTACTATTTCTACAACAATTGTGACAACAAGTACATCAACCCCATCTCCAGATAGTACAGAAATAGAAGACAGAATAAACGATACTTCAAGTACAACTACTACACCTTAACCTACTGATACAGATGATCAATCTGCCTAAACTACAGCGACTACTTATGAGACATCTACTACAACTGAAACAACAGCATCATAATCAACGATTGAGTCTACAACTTCCTAAACTAAATAAGAGGATTCAACGACTATGGTTTCGAGTACGACTGAAGTGCCAACGATAACCTCCACATCTACAACCACTGAAGCTCCTATTACAACAACATCCACTACGATCACGACAACTACCACTACAATAGCTACAACTACTACGACAATTGAACCATCAACAACAACTGAAACTACTACTACTACAACAACAACTGAGGCAACAACAACAACTGCAACAACTGAGCCAACAACAACTGCAACAACAACAACAACTGAGCCAACAACAACTGAGGCATCAACAACAACTGCAACTACTACTACAACAACTTAGCCTACTACAACAACTTCTACATCGAAGACCACTACTGAAGCTCCTTAAACTACAGAAACTACCACAACAACTGAGTCTACTACCAGATCTTCAACTACCACAACAACTACCCCTGAACCTACTACTACTAGCTCAACCACCACATCAACTACTACTACTTCTGCATCTACAACTTCAACTCCAAAAGATTCTGGTAAAAATGATAATAATGGCAAAGTTAATGATCTTCTAAGAAGATTGCAAGAAAATTCTTTCAACTATACATCGTATGTAAACCAATCAAGCAACAGTAACTAGAACTAAGATAATTCAAATAATCAAACCTCATCTAATACCAATTCTAGCAGTTCAAATGAACTTTAGAGTCTTATATAAGAGCTACAGACCTTTTTTATCAAATTAAATGATGCCTTCAATGCCTATTTTGGAGAGTATCTTTTCAAAAACGTTAACTTGAATGATGGACAATAAGTATACAACTTATTCCTGTAAGCTGGTCTAGATGATATTGAATCAATATCAGCAACTGATTCAAGTTCTCCATCGAATACTTCTAGCAATGTTCAACAATCAAATGATAGTGGAATCAGTAAATAACTACTTTTATTCTTAGCAATTGGAATCCCACTTACATCTATTTTCATTGGGGTAATAGTATACTTCCTTATTACAAAGAAAATAATGGTAAGACAGATTCAATAAGATGGGTCTACCAAATGGGTTAGAAGATATTGCAAGAAATACCAGAAATTCGAAAAGGTATATACGACCTAAGCAAACGAAAAGACAACGAAAACTTAAGATGATATGACAGTATAGGATTATGATTCAGTCAGAATAATGATTACTCCAGAATAGACCATTAATCTGAATTGCTATAACTCAATGGATGTCACACTGTAAAGCACAGATCATGCAATGAAAGGAAGTGCAATCCTTACTTACCCAAAATTAGTTTTCGCTAAGCATGAACCAGTCATTGAAACCAAAATAATTGAAAATATTGTTGACATGAGGTCCGAATCTTCATAAAAGTTCAATGAAAAATTGTACCAAGATGATGTAAATTGTTGAGTAACAAGTTTTATTTCATGTAAATGACAACTACATTATCTTTAGTTACTTATATTCCAACCTATTGATGATTGTAATTTAAGATTGAGTAATCATATTTAATATTAAATCTCAATTTACATTATCAATTATTTAAAATAATAAATTTAATTAAAGCTCAAATTTTATAAGGCGGGGTTTTGGGGTTTTGGGGTTTTGGGG